ATTTATTTAAAAAAAGTTAAAACGTCAACCTGTTTGATAGACACCTCTGGGAAGGAGCGCGACTCCCATTTCACCTTATGGTAAAGTACCCATTTTACTGCTCTGTTTTAGTTTCGGAGCTGCAGGTTTTCCAGACTGCGTTTGAAAGTACTGAGTGTTTTACTGTCGACAACATGCTGTGCAAGAATATTCCAGAGACGGATGCTGTCCGGGAAGAAGGATTTAAGGTAAATTTGAGTCCTTGCAAATGGTACCAGGAACTTGCAGGAATGACCACTTAAGTTTACACCTGATGGAGTCAGGCACGTGCGGAATACATTGACGAGACCATTTACTATGCGATACATCATGTTAACTTTAGTCCGGGTTCTCCTTTCTTGAAGTGGGGATCATTGAAGATCGTTTATCATTGATGTTACGCTGCTTGTTCGACGATAATCACCACAGACGAATCGGGCATACATTTTTTGCATCATCTCAAGTTTTTGGATGTTGCCTGTCACTTGGAGGGTCCCATACTGCGCTGGCATACTCAACAGTAGGTCGCACTAAGGTTTTGTAGCAAAGCTCCTTGATCTTCTTGGGGCACTGATACAGATTCCTTTGGTGAAATGCCGAGTATAGTTCGCCTTGTTACATATTTTGGTGATGTGGATGTTCCAGTTAAGATTTTTCTGGATATGAACACCAAGGTATTTAGCTGCTTCTACATCCTCAAGAACTTGTCCATGTATTATATATGATTTTATGATGGGAATCTTTTTCTTGGTAATGTGGAGAATCTTACATTTTTGTGGGTGCGCCTCCATTAGATTTAAAGCTCCCCATCGCTGGAATCTTTCCAAATCTTCTTGATGTCTGCCAGAATCTTCAGATATTATGATCTGCTTATATATGCAACAGTCATCAGCAAACAAGTTGATGGTGGAGTTTGCAAATATGTAGTTTGGCATGTCATTTATGAACAGTAAAAAGAGCAGATGTCCAACGACACTACCTTGAGGAACACCAGACCTAACTGCTGTTGCATTAGACTTTTTACCATTTAGGATGACTCGTTGCATGCGGTCGCTCAGGAAATCCTGAATCCAATGGATGTTGCCATTATAATACTGTAGTATTTCAGCTTATTATGAGTAGTCGGAGATGAGGAACACGGTCAAATGCCTTAACCAAGTCTAACAATATATATAATGTCAACTTGACCCCTTGCATCAACTGTGCTTGCTAGATCCTGTATGGTACTTATAAGCTGTGTGTCACAAGAGTACTTTTTCCTAAACCCATGCTGGGCGTCAATGAGGATATTATTTTCTTCGAGATGGGCCATCATGCAGCTGGTAAGTATGTGTTCCAGTACCTTGCAGACCACTGATGTGAGTGAGATTGGACGATAATTTTCCGCCTTATTTCTTTCCCTTTCTTGAATATGGGGACGACATTCGCTTTCTTCCAGTCATCGGACACAGTGCATTGATTGATAGAAGCTTGGAAGAAAGTGGTTCTACAATCTAAAATGATTCTATAATCTAAAAATAATACCGGTAAGTCACCTGGTATAAATATGATTTCAAATGAAATTTTGAAAAATGGTGGAAACTGCTTGACCATGTCAATTCTCTCGTTATTTAAAAAAAGAATATTTGCTCTTGAAAAAATCCATAATGATTGGAACAAAGGTATTATTGTTTCAATATTTGAAAAGGGAGACCGCAGTGTATGAATAATTACAGAGGGATTTCTCTTACTCTATGTATATCTAAAATTTTTAATCGAATCATCTCATACCATATTCCCAACTTTCTCGAAGAAAAAAAAATGTTTTATCAGAGTTTCAAGGTGGGTTTAGGCCATCGCGTAGATGTTATGACCACATTGACCCTTAAAAGCATAGCTTCGTGTCGTCTCATTGAGTAAAAAAAAACAAAAAAAAATCCTTCTTAGCCTTCTTGGATCTTAAGAAGGCCTTTGATACGGTTTTGAAGGAGGGAATGTTAATGTTATACCCCTATTCAGGAGACACCACTATTAATGGGACGCTTTTCTTGGTCCCGAATGTGTCCCCTTAATAGGGGTTCTACTGTATTATTATTATAATAGAACGTATTTTGCGCATGCGCTGTTTTCAAGTCTGTGTCAGCCTCAGTGATCAGCTGTTCTGTGCACCGCGAGTTCGATTTTAATAGAACGACACACTTTTCTTTGTATGAGCCTTGCCGAATCAATGCAAGAATAAAACAAGTGATTGATAGTAGATTCTGAAAACACAAAATAATGTTAATGTTATGTTAGTTGTTCAACTAACGTATAATTATTAGAACTAGGAAACTCGATTCTGACACGATTACCAATACGATTACACTGGAGCAACTGAACTTATGTACCGCAAGCTGTATTTAAAGTGCAGCCGCTCGTTCACCCCTTCCCCCACCCCCTTGACACTTATTGGCACCCAAAGTAACCTGCAGCTCACAGGGTTAAGTTAACATGACCTTTTCCTTCTTTAGCATCTGTCTCTTATACACATCTAGATGTGTATAAGAGACAGGAGTATGCTCGTCGATGGCACTGTGATAGAACTTTTTACTGACTATGCCAAGTGCGAGTTATCTCGTCCGCTTTTTGCATGGGTTGGTATATGTTCAAAGGGCGCCCCCACTTGTACCGCTCGAGTGTACTACCGGCAAAATAACACAACAGACCTATTGTCATTTGTACGTTATCGTCTAGGTGTATCTTCCCCGAACTACCAGCCGTTGAGTCTGTGGTTCTACAATGTATAATAAAGAAGTTATAAACGCTAGAATGTTTCCCCCGATTTGACGAGTATACTCGTTCCTGGCGCCCTCAGCAACACCCTGTGAGCGAGTATACTCGTCGCTGGCAGCGAACGTGTTAAAACGGTCTTAACGGTCATGGCGTTCTGCTGATTAATTCCACAGTGCAATGGCAAAACCTAGAATCATTGTTTTGTTATACATTTAATTACTAAATCTCTGTTAACAAATAGGATTATTAGATAACATATTTTACATTTGTTTGCTACAATGTTGGATGCCTTTGGTCATTTACTTTCATTAGTTACATCAAATTTGGATTCAAAGTGTTTGAAAGTTCATCGATGGAAATTGAATGACATGATTATCACCGCATTCAACACCTTCCTTTTACAATCATTAACTTGAACTTTCCAGAATTTGGGTTATACCAAACACACAATCATTATTCCACCTGTGAACTTATGTTTCTTGATCGTTTTTAATGACACTACTGATCAGTTCAGACTTTAGACTGCCACCGACAATCAGCAGACTGCGTCGCGCGGCGTCAGAGAGCTGAGTTGCAATCTCGTCGTGCGACGGTCGTATACCCGGCTTAAGGTACGTAGGTACATGATGGAACATAAGAATAATATTTTACCGTAACTTGTGTCAAAGCTTAAACTTGTGAGGAATGGAAGACGATCACTATTTTTCAGGGTAGCCTGGGTTACAATATGACAGTAGTTTTTTTCTTTTTTTTTTGTTTTGTTTTTTTATATGCAGATAAGTCGTTTACAAAAATGTGATCAGTATAACTTGAGTGAGATCCATTAAAGTACGTCAAAGTTTCAATCTTTAGTTAAAGTTAAAAGTAGAAACGGTGAACATTACAAAAAAATATCATAGAGTATCAAAATATGTTTTGTAAAGGGTGCCGTTTATACCAGTTAGGCCTGCTAGATGTAGGCCACGAGGAATTGGCGTTAAGTCGCCGACAATCACGACTGGGCTAAAGTGAGGAAGATAGAGATACCAAATAATGTATAGGCCTATTATGAGTAGGTTTGTTACTATTATTACAAATTTGATAGCACTTAAGCGAGGATTATCCGTTGCAATAATTATTTTCAAAACTGACAGGCCCCGGTGGGGCTGCTGTAATTCTGTAATAATGATCAGGGCCGGCCATACGCAGGATTTTTATTGGGTGCGTGCAAAAATGTTTTTTTTTTTTTTTTTTTTGTGGGGTGGGTGGGGGGTGGTGCGCTAAAAACAATCCGCCACTGGTTTTGAGAGCAAACGCTATTCTGTGTTCTTATTTTCAAATGTTCTGTACCGTAGTCTATCAAAAATGTTGATGGCCTAACGATTAATATCAACTTTGATATGTTAAGGAATCTGATCTACAAGATTTAAGTCAATCTAATTAAAAACACCGTGGGAATGTCATTAATTATACTACGGGTTAGCGTTCATTAATATTATTAAGATTTTAAGAATCGTAAATAAATCAAGGTCGGAGTAAAACAAATCCCTACAAATTGGACATACACAACGTGCCGCTTCCAACCACGTGGTGTTACAGATTTTCACATCATATGTCAATAGACTACAGTAGGTAAACTTATAGAACAAGGTAAATAAAACATTAATAAATTTTAACATAAAAGAAATAAATGTAGGTCTAGCGCACAATGAAAAGCCTATAATATTATTAGGTATTGAAAATACTAAATTTTTACCACATATGTAAATGTTACATAATAAAAAAATTAATCGAAATTGCGAAGGGAGGGACTTTCACAGAAAGAAAGATGAATTTTGTACGTGACGAGTTATTGACACGCAACGGCGTGGAAAAACTTTAAAATTACTCAAAAACTTCTAAGTACAGTTAGAGGCCTTGCTTAATTGTACGACAAATTAGAGGCAGTCCTTTGGAAACTGCTCTGATTGGTCAAACATTTTTGGTGGATGGATTTCTGGAGCATGTGAGAGTGTGTCTTGAATTTTCTACGCCGGAAAATTTGGACCTTTTGTAATTGGTGTGGGGGGGGGGGGTGCGTACGCACCCGTCGCATCCCTGCGTACGGGCCTGTAATGCAAACGTATAATAAACCATGATCTCTCCCTCTCTCTCTACAAATTGAAATGATGAATATCGATATATTTTCCAGAATATCGATATATCGCCCTCTATGACATGCGGTACCGCAGACGTGTACGACCGGCCGCGCCGGTCGTTGTTTGTTTTGGTTTTGTGCTGCTGTCAATCGCTTGAGTGAACTGTGTTATTTGGGTTTGACTTTTTATGCTCCGGTAATTCATGATAAAGGAACATAAAGAACAGATTAAGCAGTTGTTGCATATCACAGGATTTCAGCGGTGGATTTAAAGTGTTTTTCTTTAATAGCATTTTTGCGACGAGTGGTCCTACTCATAATAGCCTAACTTGGCGTTCTAAAAAGTAGGTATGCAGACAGTGTAGTAGGCCTAGCCTAGGCAAGTTTATTGTGTCAAAACGTGGATCAAGGTCACATCTCTGATCTTGAATAGTGGGTAGGCCAGTGGCTGGCCTGAGGATTGCATACAGTACATGCTCACTATGGTATAGGGTTACACTCGCTTCGTGTTACTAACTCTATAACCTTAGAGCCAGGAGGCTAGCCTAGGCCTGACCGAGTTTATTGCTAAAACCATTCATGGCCCTCTTTATTAATATTATCACCATAGCTTATAACTTTTAAAAATAGACCACTCTCATCGACTTCTTCTACTAGGCCTAGGTAGTCAAAACTCGTCGCAGTATTTTGGATAAACTAAATTATTCAGGTCGGAAAAACAAATCGATCAAGAAGCTCAAATTTTAAACTTTTGTTGAAGTTGTGAAGACTACAATCAACTTTCTCGCTTTTACCTACATCATGCTTTGGAAACTTCATAAAAGGACAATGACTGCAATTGTAAGACTTCAAATTTTTTTCGCAAGTGTGCATTTATTAAGTATATCTGAAGCAGTGACAGATACCGCAACAGGCTATGAACGGGAGAGAGTTGTCTGTCCAGAACAAACACTTGTTTGGGGGCCGGGATTAAATGCGGATTTTAATGTTCCTGCACGATTTTTTTTTATTCAAGCTGTGGATTTCAATGGCCAAAAGTAAGTAGTTTTCAGAATTTTTAAAAACATTGAAAGTGACAAAAAAATGTTTTAACATAACATGACTTTCCTAGGCCTATCTTTCTTTATTAAATCAAAACTTTTTTTTTCATAGCCCTTATCAGCAAAAAATTTATCAGCGAAATTTGAACCCCGGCCGCTTGCTCAAGGTGGCATCATACCACTACCTTGAAACAAACTAATTTATTTTCTATAGGATTCCCTACTAATCAAACCCTTACTCTAGTCTTAGTATATGTGGCAAAGACAAGCCAAACCAGTCACTCGTCGCAAAAATCAATTTTGAGTTATTAATACAGGGTTAAAAAGTTAAATAAGAGCTATAAAATGGTAAAAAAATCATTCAAATCCGACATTT